GACGTGACATCAAAAGATCCAGGCGAACAGATGAATTTGAGGAAAGCGTGGGAAGTTACCAAGGTAGTGGACGTACGTGGGTGGACACGTGGCAGCGCAGGGGCGGTAGACAGAATAGTAATTGTCATTTTCTTTGCCTATTTAAGGAAGTGTCATTTTCAGTTTTAAAGGTCGCATTTTGTTTGCATTAGGAGATTACGCTCAAAGTATCAAGCGTGAGAGAAACGAGTTAAAACTCTGCAAAATGTATGAATGCGTCCATATTTCTTTTCATTGAGCAATTTACTTTACAAGTTTCTCTTACTGCTTTTGTTTTATGTAACTTCTTGTTGTACTTTTCCTTTTATCAATTCAAGCAACTGTTTATCTACCCTTTTTTAACCTAAGAACTCAAAACGTCAACACATAACCAACATATAGTCTAGGATTCTTGTAGCCTATCCTGCATGTAAACTTCAATAATAGGCTAGAGATTGTTCTCCAGAAACGTCGGGCAAACAAATTGGCACACCCGGTGAGACTCGTTGTGTTAAGTTTATGTTGTTGCATACTAGTAAAATGATGGAGCCCAAAACCGCCAGTCCAAATGAGGAACCATCCTCAGGAGGAAGTATATTCACTTCAGAAACCACCAACGTGGGTTCTAACATCATGATTGCGATTTCAACTGCCCATAGTGGACCGACACAATCGCCTCATCGAGTCGAGATTGCGGTTTCAACGTCCGTTGTACTCAACAGAAACCTCTTAGTTTGATTTGCAATTTGAATGTTAACTTACGTTTATTTGCTTTCTTCAAGTGGTAAAAAAGATTAAAAAGAGAAAAGAAACGAAACCTCAAAAGTGGAAAACGGGAGATTTTTTTTATTAATGTGTTCGCCAAGGATTGAGACCCTTGTGCCTATGTATCCTCATAATTAAATGAAGAATCAGAGCTTCATAGTTCAGGGAGACTACGGTGGAAAAAGAAAAAGTTTTCTCGCCAGAATCTCGCAATCCCGTGCCTGGGTACCCTCATGGTTCAATGAGGAAATAAGAGCTCCGTAGTTCTGGAAACTAAGGATTTGTTGGTTGATTTTATTGGATGATGTTAACATTTGCGTTCTAGACGTTAAATGTTGCTTGCGTGCTCGTGCATGAGAGACTTAAGCATTGTTTGCATTGCGATAGAATGGAAGTAAAATGCTCTTTTTGAAAAGGTTTTGAAAGTGATGCCCTAAGGCGCAAAAAGAGAGTTTGATGAGTTTAGTTGATTTTACCTTGAAATAGGGTTTTAAAAAGAGATTGTTTTTTATTCGAATTGCACTAAAGGCTATGGGTATAGGTGAATATTTTAAACTACCAAGGCAAACATCTTGTGTCCAAAATACTAGAGTGAGGGCAGGAAATTTCCGTTCTCACTCATTCTTCACCACTTAAGGCTTGTGGCGCACAATTTTAATCGTATTTTAATGTGTTTTTTTATAGTTTATTTGAGAAAATATTTCTTGATGTTGAATCAAGGGTTTTATTAAGAAAGTGACATTTGACATTGGATCAAAGGTTTTATTGTAAAAATGTCGCTTGATGTTGGATCAAGGGTTTGAGAAAATGGTGAGGTCGATCCTAGTCCCTAAGGATAGCTAGAAAGCAAAACCAAACCAAAGAAAAACGGGAAAGTAACTAAAGTACATCAAAAAGGGAAAGGGGTACATGAAAAATACAAGGGATGTGTGCAAGAAATAAAAGAGTCTCGTTGTCAGGTAGCCCAAGAGAAAGTCGTGTGTGTACAAGGTGTCCTAAGCTAAACAATGGAATGAGAATCCAAATCCAAGTCTCCTTTTGCTAGGGTCAAACATTAAGTCCCAAAATCCATGATGCTATGGTCAAACATTAAGTCCAAAACTCCATAATGCTAGGTTTAAATAGAGTTTGATTGTCTAGTTATGTCTTGGAAGTCTTTTAGGTCTTTTCATTTGGTTTATTTTAACAAGATAAAGAATAAAGATCATAAAGTAAATGCAAGAAATAAAATGAATGATAAAAGGAAATAAAAGTAAATTGCAAAAAGTAAATTGCGAGAAAATAAAGTGCAAGAATGTAAAAGTTAGAAGTTAGAAGTTAGTAGTTAGAGGTTAGTAATCGAATGATCGATTAATCGAATCGAGACAATTTAGCGATATGTTAAACAATCGTAAATGGACTTATGTAGAAGCCACACCTATCTGAGGCCGGTCAATAACAATTTATGTGCTCAAACAAGTTAGAGAACTAACACAAAGTTATTCTCCTAAAATATGTAACACAATGAGAAAAATTAAAGAAGAAAATATAAAACAAAAGAATTAGAAACAATTAATCACATAATCGAAAAATATTTGAAAAGTGAAAATTAATTCGAGTAAAATTCAAGAGATTAAAGTAATTTAAGAATTAAAAAAAAGAAAAAAAATAAAGACAAGTGGAAAAACTAATGAACCAAAATGAAACATGGAGGGGGTTCTCTGGTAAACACAAGGGTGCAAATAGCAATTTTGGGCTAAGCTAAGCCCAATGCAAAAAGGAAATGGACAGGGAGGTGTGAACTAACGTGCAATGTGCATAAAAAAATGCAGGTGGGCCTAGCCCAAAGCTCATGGAACACAGGAAAGGTTAGAAAAAAAACTCAGTCATCTAAAATTCACGTGCTCAATCTCTCTCCTTCTAATTTCTCGCCGGCGACATAACTTACTCTGCCGCGCCGGAGCTCATAATACCTCCCTCAAACTCTCCTCAACCTCCTTGTTTTAAATCCAACAACAATCTTTCCAAATCTCCACTCGAAGACGCAAGCAAGTTCAAATGAAATCGAACTCGATACCTTCGAAGGAGACGCTCAGGTATGTTAATGGCTTCGAGTCTTTCTTCTTCTTCTTCGCGTGCTTCTTCTTGTGAAGTTATTGTTGTATTTGTGTTGCAAATTGTTGCTATGCGTGTTGAACTCGTGTTGTTGCGTTTAAATTGTTGCGTTGAGTTTTTTGCTTGTGATTTTGTAGGAATCTTTTTCATTGTATGATGAGTTTGTGTTGTATTTGCTTTGTGTAGTTGTATGTATTAAGAGATGTTAAGAGTCCCACATCGAACAATATATGGCATGAACATGTGTTTATAAGTGAGGGCGATCCTCACTCTACCAATCGATTTTGTAGGGTTGAATTAGGCCCAGGATGTGTGCAGAGCTGCAAGAGTTATGAAGGTTGAAGGTGATTGAGCAGTGAAGATTGGGGATGAAGAAGATTATGAGCAGTGATGATTTTTGTGCGTGAAAATCCAGCCAAAGTCCCAAATGAGTGTGATCTTATAAAGGGATTATAAGGTAGTTTAGGAAATTGAATTGGAGAGTTTGTTATGAGAGTTGTATTGAGATGTTTGCAGCCACGTTGTGTTTAATCACATTGCCTTGTATTGCCATTTGCAACTTGGTGAAATTGTCCTTGTATTTGTTGCAACTTGTATTGGGGCTTGTATGTTATTTGCACCCTCAAATTCTTCCTTGAATAACACTTTGCAATTGTATGTAGCTTTAGTTTTGGCTCATGAATGTGATGATATATGTGAGTGGTGATGATATGGTTTTGAATCCAAGTTGCACACATTGCTCATTCTTACTTGTTTTGTTCATAACCTTGATGATAGTATGCTTGAATGATGACCATTGTGAACCCGAGATGCATACAATACTCCTTGCTTGTTATGCTCGTGATATTGGATGATGGTTGAATGATGAAATGCTTTTTACTTGCTTTGCAATCTTGATTCCAATGATGTTTAGAAAACGGATTAACTCATGTAGTTATGCCATGTTTGAGTTGCTTCCTCCATGCTTGAATGTGTTCTTGGTTTTTTTAAAAGCTTGTATGATAATGTCTACATGGAATCATTTCACACCAATTTTGAATTCTCCATTAGAAACCAAACTTAAAATGGATGAACTAAGGCCTTGCTTCTATGTTTGAACACATTTGATCAATCTTGAAAGAGCATTTGAACAATTTGTACACACCTTACCACTTAAACCATGATGAACCAAAATCCACATTTTAAATCTTCTTTGACAAATATTATGACCAAAATGAACATTCCTTAGAGGTCTTGCCTTGCAACACTTAGTTATATGACAATTGAATCATACATGAACTTGGTTGATCAAAAATCCTAATTGAGCCAATGCTTGATCACAATGATGATTTCCACACAACACTTTGAATTTGGTAACATTTGTCTCCAAAATGGCCTATAACAAAGATGCCTTGTAAATGAAACATTCCCTTTTTTTTGTTTGACCAAGATTGGGTCAAACTTCCACTTGAACTGAATCATGAATGAATGATCATTTGTATCAATCTCAACACACTTAACTTGCCGCAATGATTCTTCCTTGATGCCTCCTTGCAAACTCTAAGTTACAGAGGCACCAAACATAAGATACCATGATAATGGTGGATGAATAAGATGAAACCCTTGGAAAAGCAATCATAGAGAGATCCTAATCTCCATTCTTTTGGCTTAAACTAATGACTAACTAGGTTAATGAATCAATGCTCAATTGATATGCTAATGATATGATGCACAGATGATGAGAATGCTAGGTTAAAATGAGGGTATGACAAACAACAACATTCTTCTCAAAGTACCTACAACAAAAACATGACTATGAGAGCCTTTTGCAACAATAAGAGGAATTTTGGAAGGAGAAATGCAAGTAAAAAAAAGTCGAAATTAAAATATCATGTGAATAGAAACTACAAAACTGAAACCAGCTGGAGCCTGGTACTCAAGGTGACAAACTTGTCACTAGCGAGAGGCTTGATAAAAAATATATGCCTTTAGATTAACATTGGGAATTTGCAGAACATGCATTGCTTAGCTAGAACCTTTTGTACCTTTCCTAAACAACACACGTTCTTTTCGCTCAACATTACATTAAAAGGAAATAACAAAGCAAAATGTACTGAGAAAACAAAAATAAAAAATCAAATTCTTCATGAGACTAAACTCTCTGTTGTTATAGAATCATTGACTCTATCAGAAGCCTTCCTTGTCTGAATAAAAAGAATCAGAAAAAAACAAAGGCATATCAGCATCAAACAAATAATGAATCAGAAATCATAAATAAAACTGAAGAAGTTTCAAACCTCTTTCTCCCAATCAGTGCGTATTGTAATGATCATTAGCGAGGATACTTGAACAATGAGCGCACATATGATCCCCAGTATCAGCCCCTACAATAAATATTTTTAGCAGCAAGTTGAACCAAATCACAAGATCGCGATTTTCACTAAAAGATTAACCATTGTATTTTACCTTCCCACCAACATGCAATACAAAAGCTAATACCACGGCTGCTGGTACACCAACGAAATAGTATGCTCCCAGATTAACATAAGCAACCATTTCCTGCCGACCACATCCTCTAGCCGTGCCAGAAAGAACACATTGTAGTCCGTCAAGGAAATGGGATAGGGCGAGAATTGGCAACAAAGTTGCTACATATTTGACAACTTCTTCTTCATTACTATAAGCATAACCCAATATATTGCGTATAAGAAATATCACTGTTCCGACTAAAATGCTCTCAATAATGGCAATCACCACTACAACAGACACTCCCAAACGTGCAGCCTGTGGATTACCAGCCCCGAGTTCATTTGAAACACGAATGCTGCAAGAATCATTCAACCACTAATTTAACTACTTGCAAAATAAAGCACGAGAAAAAGTCTTCTACTGAGAAATACTAACCTTATTGCTTCACTAAGTCCAAATGGGATCATCCAAATAGCTGCTTGTGTATTCAAACTGACAAAAACCAAGTGACTAACAATAAGTAGATGAAAATAATAACAATATCGACGAGAATCTCAAATATAAAACCGACCAGATAGAAAGTACTGATGTTTCCAACTTTGGATTTGGAAGAAGTCCAGAAAGGAGAACTATTAACTCATATGACCACATTTCCAAGCTGCTCGCATCAACAATTTCAAATTAAAAAAATGGAAACATCATTAGAATCTATACAAAGAAATGAAAATACAATTACAATGTAAAGAAAAGTATTAGAGAAAGTGATTACCAAACCATTAGAGTTGAAGGAATAGCAAGCTTCAAAAAAATAGGGATGCTGTTAAGTGCTAATGCCTCCTTGGAAAATCCGGTCCAAGTTTTTTTACATGAAGGAGAAAACTTGATATAAAGTGAGAGTATAATAACATTCAACCATTGAGACATTGAATTTGCTATGGCAGCACCTCTGCCACCTAATCCAGACTTGTATACCATAATCCAACATAGAGGAATATGAAGTAATGTCGTAACCGCGGAACTAAACATCATTGGAAACACAATGTTTTGTGTCTGTAAGAATCTGTTGAGGCATTGTAGAAGTCCATAACCAAAAAGGCCTGGAATGAATGACCTAGCATAGTTTCCTGCCTCAGTAGATATTTCAGGATCTTGGCCAAGTAAAATGAGAATAGATCTTGTGTTTGCCCAAATAATCGCGAGGGGAATCGCGAAGATCATGATAATGAACATTGCTCTCTGCGTGTGTATGCCTAACATGCCGTACTGCTTTGCGCCATATGATTGTCCACATAATGTGTCCAATCCACTTGCCATTCCTCCCTGTATTTTAACCAAAACAAAAACAAAATAACTGTGAAACAGTGTCCGACAGTCGAATGAAGAGTCAAAAGCAAAGAAATCGGATAAAAACTAACCAATAAACTGAAGCCAGTGACCGAAGCGAAAGAAGTAGCCATGGAAGCACCCGAAAGAGTCAATTCACCAAGATGACCAACAAACATAACTGAAATGAGATTTATACCAAAATTCAAAAGTGAAACTGAAATTAACGGTCCTGATAGCCATAACTGTTTTTTCACTTCTTTAATCAATTCTCTTCTATCTTCTTCCTTGCTGTTCTGATTTGTTTCTTCAACAATCAATGGAGACTGAAGAGACATTTTCTTTCTTTTTTTTTCTTCCGTTTCTATCTTCTAGTATTAGTATCTCTGAAGAGGAAGAGGATGACGGAGAGAGAAAGTGAAATCTAACACTTTTGTTTGGTTTTGATAAAAAAACAAACATAAGAAGAGAGAATACGGTAACCGGAAAAACATGTATAGTCATGGCTGTTTTTGTGGTTGAAGTAAAAAGTTTTGAATTATAATTTCATAGCAATCATGGAATCTGCGTAACACACTTCCAACTCGTGGGTGTTTATGGTGTGGATCGATACTTCCGTGACTCAAACTAAATTAATCTATAAATTATTTGAAATTTGAACGTGTTAGATAAAAGGTTAGGTCAAACCCAATCTAACCCAACTTGTATACACTTCTAATTTCAAATTCGGTCTCACACATCCATGTTACTTTTAATTTGACCATAATAAATACCTCCACGTAGATTTATGATATATGGCAAAAACTTATTCAATGATTTGGATTAAAAGTTAAATATAATTATTTATTTAATAAAAAAATTATAACAACATTGATTGTCTTCCTTCATCCTCTATGTAATGTGTTACAATTTTTTTCTTTTTTCTATGATAGAGCGCCTCTTCATCTCATTGTCAATAGCTTCAACCACCATATGTCGCTTTTGAGACTCCATCACTTCTCTTTGTCCAACGCATGGAATAGAAAATTATTCCTTTTCACTCATGTTTAATAAAAAAATTCCTCTCCAATCATGAATGAAAATTTTAGAATTTTAATTGTAATTATAGAATAACACATGTATAGGCAAATTTAATTGAGAGGGTTGTAGAGATACCATGCTATTGAAACTCTAAAATTACATAAACTTCTTATCTCTAAAATTGAAATCTAACAAACCTAAATTACAGCTTTAAATTAATTACAGTAAAATCTTCTTTAACCTTCTTCTACAATCTTTGCATTCAAATTTCAAATTATTGCACTGGAAATACCACAATAGTGGTGGAGCAAAATCAAGAAGACGAGTTAATGACAATCGCGACGACAAAAATGAGTGGAGGACACACTCGTGGTGGCGAGGGCGAGGTAAATATAGAGATATAGTGAAGTGACCCAAAGATAGTGGCGGCGACAATGAAAAAGTAACGGTGATGGAATAAACTGGAAACTGGAGGAGATTATAACTAGAGTGGATCTGGACTCAAGAAATATTCAGTATGGTCATGTGCATTTTTATCGAAAAGTTTGAAATTGCTGATAAAAATACATATATGCATGCTATAGATATTTTTAAAATGTCGTTAATAACACATATAAGCAAATCAAATTTTTAAAATTGACAGTGTTATCGGATAATTTAAAAATCTTGCAAGTCAATTTTTTTTCTCTCTCTTTTTTAGTTTTTTTTCTATAGTAAAGAGAAGAGGAAGAGACAATAAGATTACTCAAAGATTGAGAAAGAGAGAAGAAATAGCCGTTGTTGAGAGCTCTAGTAGAGGAACCGAAGATGATGGAGAGCAGCTGCAGACTAGGACGGATAAAGTAGTCCCTACTGATTTTCATTGTAGGAGGATTGAGCAGTCTCGCAAACCACACACTCTTTAACATAGAGGAGGTAAAGTTGGATGGGCCATAGATCATGATGTCGATCCAGATATTGTTGTTGTTGATGATGTCAGACAACAACTCATGAAGATAAAGAGGTTCATCCTCGTGCTGATATGGAAGTTCCTGCTCTAGTTGATACGGAGGTGCCGACTCAGACTGATAGACAAGCTGACACATATGGAGGGTTCCATAGAGGTTTCAATGACCCTACTTTGCTCACTAGGTATGTCGATCATGTGAATTTTTAAAGATATTTTAAGATGTTTTTATTCATTATTGATTAATTGAATATAATTGATAATTTATGCTTTATTTGTGTGAATGCTGTTGAGACATGCTTGGGCGTTACACTAGGGTTGATATTTGATGAGTTCAGGGCTAACACGGGTGCTCATTTCTGTCTCTCTTGACTTCGAAATATGTATCAGTCACCAGAGCATCACTTTATTTATGAGGCGACCACTAGGGTGTTCATGTTGCATCTTGCAGAATGTATTATCTTAGCGGATAAGTCTCATGTATGCATCGATGCTAGATACATATCTATGGTTGCAAACTTTGAGCATTTCGACTAGGCATGGGGTTATGTTGCTTTGAAGATATTATATTGTCATTAGATAGGAGTCTGTCTTTAAGAAAAGACAACTTGCCGGTTATACGAATCTATTTCAGGTATGAATATTTATTATATTTTATTTATTTCATTCCTATTTATCAAAGGCATTTCATATATGTAATTTGTGTTTATTGTGGAGTGTTGAATATACAAGCATTTCTCATCCATTTGTGACATGTGTGATCATGGTCTTATCATTGATGGCTCCTCATAGGCCGCTCGAGGTCCAGACATTCTCATTCAGGTGGTCTTCTGGACTATATGCGGAGGATCAATGCTTTAACAGTCGAGGATGTCATATGGATACCCTATGTAGACCATATAATGCATTAGGAGTTCGATGATACTGCCATTTTTCTAGGTTATTTGCAATGGGGGGCCTTCAAATAACATGTCACTACCTCCCCTCGGTATGACTGACCAACATCGAGTGCAAATGGTAGCACTTCTTTCAGATAACCTCATGGGTTGGTAAACCTATATGACAAGGTCTATGTCGGGAAATTCTAACCGTCAACCTTACCAAAATTATAACCAACCTCCACAAAACCAAGGTGGAAGTTCAAATATTGAGGAAACTTTTAACCAGTTCATTCAAATGTCTATCTCCACTCAAAAGAGTATGAATGCGGCAATTTGGAACCTTGAAACTCAAGTTAGACAATTGTCCAAGCAATTAGCCGACCAGTATAAAGAAACCTTTCCGGGTAATATTCAAGTGAATCCGAAGGAATCTTGCAAAGCCATATTTACTAAGAGTGAGAGAACAATTGGTGTGGGAGTTGATAAAAATGTTGAGGAGAAAAATGTTGAAGTTGAAAAAAAGGATGAAATTGTGGAAGAAGTTGAAAAAATAATGATAAGGAGTTAGTTGAAAAGGAGGAAGTGGAGAAGAAGTTAAGAGATGAAAAATTGAAAAAAGTTAAGAAAGGAAAAGAGCATGGGAATGAAATTCCAATAAAGAAGTTGTTGTATCCTAATTCTCCTACGAAAAAAAGACAATGAGAAGAACTATGCTAGATTCTTGGACATATTTAGTCGGTTGCAAATAACCATTCCATTTTCCGAGGCTCTAGAGAAAATGCCAAAGCATGCAAAATTCATGAAAGACATACTTACAAAGAAGAAGAGGTATACGAATAAAGAAACCTTGGCGCTCAATGCAAATTGTAGTGTTATCATCCAAAGCATTCTTCCGCAGAAGGAAGGAGATCTGGGAAAAGTAGCTATACCTATAACTATAGGTAGTGATTTCAAGTGTAAGACTTTGGTCAATATGGGTGCTAGTATTAACTTGATTCCTTTGTACGTGGTGAAAAGACTTGAGAACATGGAGATGAAATCAACCAACATGACTTTACAACTAGCGGACAAGTCAAGGACTCGTTCTCATGGTGTTGTTGAAGATGTGTTATTGAAAGTTGACAAATTCTTATTCCCGGTTAATATTGTTGTCATGGATATGGAAGAAGATGAGGATACACCAATCATTCTTGGAAGACCCTTCATGAAAACCGCAAAGATGTTTGTCAAAGTTGATGAAGGCATCATAAAGGTGAGGACTAGTGAGGAAGAAGTGTGTTTTACAGTTTTCAAAGGTGTGGTGTACTCAATTCTAGTGGAAGATGATTATCATGTGAGAAAGGAAGATGCAAGAGTTGTGGTGTTAAAAAAGAAAGACGAAGACGCAAGAGTTGCATCAATGAAAAAGAAGGATGAAGAGGCTAAAGTGGCAATGATGAAGCCTTGTTGAGATTTTTCATTCTTGAAGAAAATTGGGAGAAAAACTAGTCATGAAAATGGATGAAGAACTTTGTATTGGGAGCTTTGATCCGGTTGCTTTTAGTTTCTTTGTGCATCCATGTCTTCATCGTTGAACCATTGAGCTCAAACGACATTAAACAAAGTGCTTGTTAGAAGGCACCCCAACATTGTAAGTATTTACTGTTTTTTTGTTAGTTTGAATTTAATCGGGTGGCTGAAATTTGGGAGAAACCTATCTAAGGCCACACTTGAGTGGCCTTGTTTCACTGTACGCGCTTAAAGCGGTACTGATGCTGCTTAGCACGGTCACGTGTGCTGGTCAACTCAAGCGTGGGCCTGAGTGGGTGTTTAAGTGGACCTTGTTGGTGAAAGAGGCAGATGCATTTTGAAAGTTAAACACTCAAACTTTTCATTCTCCCACTCATTTCCTTTTATTTCCTCCTCACCCTTGCACTTCCTAGAACAACCATTTCTCATAAACTCTCTCTTGTTCAATTGCTCTAAAGTTACACATTTTCTATCTTTTTCATCTCATTGCTCTACTTCCTGATGTCTCTAAAGCGTGCATGTTTCACTGTTGGTCAGTCTTCTCAGCAGAGCCAAGAGCCAACTGCATTTCACATAAGTAAATTCCTTAGAGCTGAGCAGGAGATGTGTTATCTTAAGCTGACTCGAAGAATTATTTGGCCATAGAGGATTTTCAGGATAAACCCTCAAGGTAACTATAGAGGTTGCCTCAACATCATTGAGAATCATGGTTGGGAAGCCTTGCTTACTCCATCCTACCGGCTGAATTATAAGATCATTCGTGAGTTTTACGCGGATGTTATTCCGGTTGAGGGTCGACTCTTTCATGACCTATGTACGAGGTAAGCATCTTTCTTTTTCACAGGATGCCATTAACGCTTATTTGGGCAACCCATTGGTGTTGGTTGAGGTTGAATTGTGTGCTTATTATAAAAGGGTAGCAAAGAGGAACTAGAATTTTGCAAATGTGAGTGATGCATTAGTGCATCAGGGTAAGGTTTTT